ACGCCAAGCTGGACAGCCTCATCACCGAGGCACTCAACGGCCTGGGATACCAGTCGGACAACCCCGAGATCGACAGCAGCTTCATCGACGTCTTTGCTGACGAGGAGCCTTCTGGCCCCAGAGGTCCCGGGGCTGGGCACCCCCCCAGGACCAGGGTGGGGACGACGCCAGAGAGTAAAGCCCAGACCCCGCTCCCAGCTGGGGCCACCCCACCAGAGCCCCCGGGCCCCCGGCCAGGCAGTGGGAGCCACGCAGCCCGCAGCAGGCCCCAAACCCGCTCCCTGGGCCCAGCGCCTGCGGACACAGAAGGAGCTGGCCCGGCCGGCCAGCACAGGAGAGGGAAGCGGTTTAAGTTGTTCCAGAAAGAGCTGGACGCATCAGGCACCACCAAGAGCCGCAAGGGCCCCAGAGCCACCCGCCCGAGGCCGAGGAGGAGAGGCCACGGGGCTGAACCGTCCCTGCCCCGCCTCCGGGACCTCAGAACCCAGGCCGCGGAGAGCCAGGGCCATCCTGCCAGACAGGCCCTGCCCGTGGAGACCAGGAGCTCCCAGCGCCTACGGCGCTCCCCGGGGAAGGACTGCAGGAGGAGGCGGCTGCGGGGCGGGACCTGGAGCAAGGAGCTCATCCACAAGATCGTCCTGCAGAAGAACAAGCACCCCAGGGGGCAGGGGCAGGGCGGGCGCTGCCCCCCAGGGTCCTCGGGGCCGGCACCCAGCAGCGCCCACGTCGGGCCCCAAGGGCTCGCGTGCGCCTCGGAGTCCGAGGAGGAGGACGGCTCGCGGCCGCCGGGCTCCCGCTTCAGAGGCCGGCCCCGCCACGGCTGTCGGCGGTGGCGCCGAGGCGCCAGGCACAGGGAGGTGGCTGTGACCCCGGGCCCCAAGGAGGATCCAGGGCGGCAGAAACCCAGGAAGGTGGCGAGGCAGGAAGCCGCAAAGGACAGGGGCTGCCGGAGCCCAGGCCCCGAGCAGGGAGGCCCCGGGCACCTACCGCAGGCTCCCGCCGGCACCAAGGCCCCAGAGGAGACCCGTCCAGCGCCGGACATCCCCCAAGACGCCAAGAGCCCTGAAACCGCCGAGAGGCTGCCCCCGGATGCCACGAAAGGTCCCGGGGAGGTTGCAAGCTCGTCTCCAGCCCCCTGTGCAGGAGGAAGCCCCCGCCCCCCAGCCCCAGAGCGGCCGGAACCCGGCAGAGAGGACGCCCGGGCGTGCCGTGGGAGCTCGCCAGCAGCAGGTGCAGGCGGTCTGCCGGGCACTGCCCGGCGCACGGAGCCGCCCGTCTCCCGGGACAGAGAGGACGCCCCTGCCTACCCCCCGGGACCACTGCTGGTGCCTGTCGCTAACACCACCGACCCCGCCTACCTTGAACCTGGAGTCCTGTTTTTGAAGACCCCCGATCTTGGCTGCAACTCCGCTCCTTTTAACGGAGACTCCGTGGGGGATCCATTTGCCAAAAAGGGACCCCAGCCCTACGGCAGCCCCCCCGGCAAATTGTTCCTTGGACCCAAAGACCTGCCTGGCTGTTTCCAAGAAGACCTGTACTCCAAGCCCTTAGCTTCAGGCGGTCTGCCTGCCAGCGACATGCACCTTCCTCAGGAGGCTGTGGACACCGGTTCCCTCGAGCCAGAACCACCCAGGAATCCAACCTATACGATCCGAGTGGGCCCGGTCAGGGCCGATTCGCCGCCGTTGACCTTGGAGTCCACACCCCTCTTCCCGGGGCTTCCTGTGGACAGATTGGAGCCGCCAATCTACAGCAGCCTGTCCGGAAGTGGACTCACACGCCCCTCCCTGGTGTGTGCCACCCCTCCACCAAGGAAACCCCAGTTAGAGCCGCCATACTCCCCGTTTCTGCCCGACAAGGGCTGGTCCCTACTGGAGGAGACCCCCGTGCTGGCCAGCCATATGGGTCACCTTCCTGACCTCTTGGGGGAGAAGGCATTCAGCAGGAAGTGCCCCGGTGAAGGGACAGAGGCTGCCAGCCCCCCGCCTCTTCCCGGCAAGATCAGTGAATGCGGTGTCACTTTTATGGGCAACCTGTCTGAGGATGAACTTGAAATCAAAAGACTGGTCGCCGAGCTGGAAAGTCAGCTACAGAGTAAAGGCACACACGAGACCCCCGAGCTGCCGTGTGTGGCTGGGCACTCGGGCAGGACGCATGCGGGCACGGGGGCCCCTCTACCCTCCCACCGGGCCGCCTCGCCCTCCAGGGACACCTTCTCCAAGCCCGAGGCCGAGCTCACCGGTCTTGGGGAATCGAGTGCAGGCCCAGAAGGGGCGGGAGCAGCAGCGGCCGCCACGGAAAGGATGCTAAGGATCGAGTGTGAGGAGTGGCCCTCATCCCGCACGGGAGAAGCCGCCCTTTCCCCTGCTGCGCGTGCGGACGTGGCATCCGGGGCTCCTGTGAGCCTCAGTGGGGCCGACCACAGCTTCCAAGCAGAGCAGAGAGCCAGAGTCTCCGACACAGGCCCCCCAACGGCAGAAGGGGACTGTGGCCTCCACCCGGAAGTCTCTCTGTCCGGCTCTAGAGGGCCATTCAAACCTCCACTGGACGGGAGGAGCTTAGCAAAGCGCAGCCCGGACTGTGAGCCTTTTCTTCCTAAAAATAACAGGGCCACCGGGATGCACCAGAGCGAAACCCTGCTGTGCCTTCCCTGCACACAGGTGCAAGGGCCCTGCCTAGAGACCCCCAAGCTGGAAGCATTTTGGGGCGCCACCCCATCCTGTGGTGACAGTCACAGAGACGCTCCCAAGGGATCCTCTGGAAGCAGAGCAGGCTGGCCAGAAGGAGCAGGCCTCCCCCTCCCTGGGGTGGGGGGCCCAGGCCTTAAGGCTAACGAGGAGTTTGTACCCGTGGGGGCCTCCCCAAGTCCTGCCTGTGTGCCCAACACCAGCCCTGGCAGGAGGCCCCAGGACCCAGCCACAAGCCCCCTGCGTCAGCTCCAGCTCCTGGTGGCCAGAGCAGCTGGGAAGGAGGAGGATGCCCTGGGCTCACAGGGGCCCCCATCCACTGACACCCAGAGCCCTCAGTGCAGTGACCCCTCAGATCTGGAAGGGGACAGTGTGCAGGGGGGGAACATGGCCTGCAGCCCCACCCAGGACGTCCCAGGGAGGGTACCGATGGCAGCCATCCCTGCAGTGGCCGGAGGTCAGTTGGGGCCCGAGGCTGATGGACATCCGGACTCACTCGGCCGGGCTGAGAAGCCCGAGGGCCAAGGCAGAACAAGCAGACTGCAGCCAGATAACCGGGGGAGCCTGGTGGGGCCGGACAACCTCTCCACAGTCAACGCCAATCCTCTAGCTGCCCTGACCAGGCCGGCCGGGGGCGCAGACCAGCTAGGGGGACAGCTCCAGGGAAATGGAGCGGTCTTGGGCCTTGGAAAAGAGGCATGGGCCACCCCAAGCCCCGCCTCCTCTGATGCAGAGTCTTTGGTAGCAGCCCACGCCCAAACTGGGCCGGGGGCCGGGACCTCAGAGGAGGCAGCCAGCCCAGCACCCCCTGTAGGGGACCAGTTGCCCTTGCCCACTCCCGCAGCCACCCCCATGCCCTCTGGCCCAGAGCACCTGCCCCAGAAAGACCCGTCTCCAGGTAAGCAGAGGGGGCTGCTCCTGGCACGTCCATCCTGCAGGGATCCCCCCAGCCGGCGGCCCCCACCCATCTGTTCTCCTGCCGGGGCACCTCCACGAAGGACAGCCTGCACCCCAGCCGCCACAGATGCTGGGGCCAGGCGAGCACCAGCAGTGCCCCCGTCTTTGAGGACAAGCCCCTGTGGCTTCAAGGAAAGCCTGGCTCACCAGCCCCTCCTGGGGGACCAGAGCCCCCCAGCAGACCCTCCCTTGGGCCAGCCTGGCTTCATCAGTATCTTCACTCCCACCCAGGGGGAGGACCACCCTGAAGGCAGCACGTCAGGACCTCTAGAGGATTCCAGAAAAGAGAAGCCAAGGAGACCTCCTGCCTCGGCCACCCCTCCTCCCCCAGTGAGGGCCATGTCCCCGAGAGTGACCATGAAAGTCACTGCCCTTCCCGACATTCCCGCCCCAGATGACTGGCCAGACTGCCCCTGCAGGCGGGCCACACCCCACACCAGCCCCAATGGCATGCCCACGGGACCCCCCTCTTTGGAACCCCCAGGCGACAGCGAAGGCCAGGGTGTCACCTCTCTGCCCGCTGACCATTCCACATGGGGGGCCACTGGGCCAGATTCCTGTGCCTGCCAGGAAGGCGAGGCGGGGGCCAGCTGCTCTGCTGTGACGGCATCTGGAGCTGGCAGTGGGGGGCCCCCAGCGACCCGCCCCTCCACAGAGCTCCACCAGGACAGAATCCCATCTCCCGGCTGCACAGCCAGTGACTCCAGACCCAGCTCCCCCCAGAGCCTCAAAAATGTTCACCGTACACCCCGGAGGGACCCCCTCAGCCCCCAGGGCACCAGACCGAAGCCTCGTGGCTTTAAAAAGAAGCCTGTGTCCACAGAAAATGGCCACTGGAAGGACCGAGCCCCCAGCAAGCGGCCCGTGACCTGTGAAGTGTGTGCAGCCTCCTTCCGCTCCGGGCCAGGCCTGAGCCGCCACAGAGCCAGGAAGCACGGGCCGCACAGGGCTGCTGCCTCCCAGCCGGCCCCCCCGGCCCCACCTGCTCCCCAGCCCCAGGCATGCCAGCCCCCCGGGAAGAAAAGCCGCAGGGCACCTGGGAAGGAGAAACCGAGGCAGGCACTGAGCGGCCCCAGCCACGTTCTCGGGCCGCCTCCTGACCAGGGTGCCGAGGCTCGTGCAGAGGCATCGGGTCCCCAGATGTCCCAGGGACCTGGCAGGGAGGGGTGCAGCGTTCTGGGAGCACCAGGCTGCACCCCTAGCCGGGAACCACACCCCCCAGGCCTGGACGAGCCAGGAGTGCACATGAGGCCTACAGAGCCCAGGAAACAGGACCAGCTGGTAAAGGACGAACCCTGTCCCAAGCAGACAGAGAAAGGGGGAGGCCAAAGGCGGGGCAGAGTGCCCACGGACGTCCCCGGCAGGCCAGAGAAGACATCACAGGAAAAGGCGAGGAAGCCCAGAGCAAGAAGGTTCCGGGAGGGGAGTGGTCCTCCAGTCTCTCCTGGTGTCATAACAGACAAATTCTGCTGGGACCCATCCGCTGCCGTTGCCAGTTCCCCGGGGCTTCCGGGCAGCCAAGAACCTGACACCGACGCCCGCTGGCCCCGGGTGATGGAGAGCGTGGAGGACACAGAGGAGGAGACGCCAGCACGGAAGTCACCCCAGGATTGCATGGCCCGCCCAGGGGGGATGGAGGGGGGGCCTCCTGGGAACGGGTCGGGGGGACAGAGGACGGCCTTGGCAAGGGGGTGCTGGGGACCCAGGGAGACCAGGACGTCAGATCTCTACAAAGAGTCATCGTGGGCAGCCAGGTCTGAGCCCACAGGGGACAGCAGAGCAGCTGAGGGTGGGGCGAGGCAAGGCGTTGCAGAGGGGTGTGAGCCCCCCTCGGGTCCCCCAGGCCGTCCTGAGACCTGTACCCCTGCCGATGGCACCAGCAGCAGCTGCCCCCAGGGCCCCTTGCTCAACCCGAAAGCGCAGGCCAGGCTCCAGGAGCATGAGGGCACTGCCCCTGCAGCCCCCAGCCCCGGCCTCGGGGACCCTCTGAGCGTGTTTGATGACGAGGCCTCCTTTTCTCGGCTCTTCCCTCTGGGCGGCCGCCTGACTCGGAAGAAGAACCCCCACGTCTACGGGAAGCGCTGTAGACAGCCAAAGACCCCGCCGGCGCTGGAGCCCCGAGGCGAGGCGGGGGGTGGTGTCCCGCTGGCCTCCGCCCACCCGCCCACAGACCTCAGCGACTCGGGCTCGCTCTGCCTGTCACACGAGGACCCGTGGGGTGACGAGGCCACGGGTCTGCCGGAGTCCTTCCTCCTGGAGGGCTTCCTGAGCAGCAAGGTGCCTGGCATTGACCCCTGGGCCCCCAGCCCCAGCCTGTGGGCCCTGGAGCCTGACCCCGAGGCGGACCGGGCGGAGGGCGTGCCCCACGGCCGCGCCGAGGACCACCCATCAGAGAACATTCCCGAGCTGCACATGGTCCCAGCGGCTTGGCGAGACCTGGAGCTGCGGGGCCCCACCGAAGAGATGGCCTCTTCTCTAGGCGACGCGAGCCCGGAGCCCCCGGACCTGGAGCGAGAACACTATGACGGCGAGCTTCCCGGGAACGCAGTGGATCTTGAGATGCTCAGCGCCAAACTGGAGGTGCAAGATCTGTGCTTCCTGGGGCCCCGTGAAGACCCCGCGGGCGACCCCGGCACCAGCTTCTCGGGCTCCCGGGGGCCGCAGAGCAAAAGGGCAGAGGGTGCGGCTGCGGCAGGAGGGGCGCCAGGCAGGGAGCGGCACGCCAAGGCCAGGAGGGCGTCCTACAAGTGCAAGGTGTGTTTCCAGCGCTTCCGCGGCCTGGGCGGCCTGGACCTGCACAAGCTGGCCCACAGCCCCTCGCCGCCGCCCACCTGCTACATGTGCGTGGAGCGCAGGTTCCGCTCGCGGGACCTGCTGCGCCAGCACCTGCAGGAGAAGCACGTGCAGGGCAAGGCGGGGCGCTGGGCCTGCGGCATGTGCCTGAGGGAGGTCGCCGACGTCTGGATGTACAACGAACACCTGCGGGAGCACGCCCTGCGGTTCGCCCGCAAGGGGCAGGCGCGGAGGTCTCTGGGGGACTGGGAGGCGGACGGCACCGTCACCCGCTTCCTGGGCAGCATCATGGGACAGGCGTCCGGGCCCGGCGGGGGCAAGCGCTCCGTCGGCAAGGCACGGGGCGACCCCGCGGGGGCGTCGGGGCAGCCGACCGGGGCGGGGAAAGAATTCCGGAGGGAGAGGGCGAAACCCAAGGCTCCCGCCAGCCATTCCGACCGAGATGGCACCGCGGCCCCAGCCGGGGCTTTGGCGGACCGCGGCCCTCTGAGCGGCTCCGCCGAGACGTCCCCCGGCCTGTCCCCTGCCCCCTGCCCCCACAGCGAGCCCCTCCTCCGCGCCGTGTCCGTGCACGTGCACGAGGGCTGCAAAGACCCCTCCCGAGACTGCCACCACTGCGGGAAGCGCTTCCCCAAGCCCTTCAAGCTGCAGCGCCACCTGGCGGTGCACAGCCCTCAGCGCGTCTACCTGTGCCCCCAGTGCCCGCGGGTCTACGCCGAGCCCCGCGAGCTGCGCGCGCACCTGGCCGGGGCGCACGGGGCGAGGGAGGAGCCGGAGCTGCAGCACACCCCGCTCTACGCCTGCGAGCTCTGCGCCGACGTCACGCACATCAGCAAGCGGTCCTTCGTCTGCAGCTCCTGCAACTACACCTTCGCCAAGAAGGAGCAGTTCGACCGGCACATGGACAAACACCTACGGAAGGGGCAGCAGCCCTTTACGTTCCGCGGCGTGCGGAGACCCGGCGCCCCCACGCAGAAGGCCCCGGCGCGCGAGGGCGCCCTGCCCAGCAAACGGCGCAAGGTGGCCCCGCCCAGCAGCCCTCCGGGGCCTGGCGGCGCCGACAGGCCTCTGTCCTGGGGCAGCCGCCCCACCCGGAGCGAGGGGTCGCTCCCAGCCCTGCCGCAGCCCTGCCCAGAGGCGGCTCCTGGCACCACCAGGGGGCAGCCCAGGACCCCAGAGAGGCCTGTAGACCCTGTGGGCCACCCGGTCACAGGGGGCGATGTGCCCTCTGACCTCCGGGAGCTCCTGCCCCCGGCCCTGTCCCCTTTCCCGGCCGCCTCCGCAGATGGCAAAGATGGCCACAAGCCGGACGGAGCCGCGGAGAGCTCCGAGGATGAGGCTTCTCCAGGCGGCCCTGGGCCTCTTCTCCAGCAGGCTCTCCCTCTGGGGGGATCTTTGCCCCGGCCAGGGGCCAGAGGCCAAGATGGAGAGGAAAAGAGGGCTGCCGGCCCATTCTCAGGGAGAGGCCGGGCCCCCGGTGCCTCCGGCAAATGTGCCCCTGAAGACGGCCTGGAAGCCCCCTCCCTGCTCCCAAAGGAGAAGCAGGTGCCCACAAGCCCCATGCTGCCTGAGGCAGGTCCAGGGAGCCCCTCCCACAAAGGCAGTGCCATCAAGGCTTTGGGCTGCCGGAGTTTGTCAAAGGACAGATCGGTTTTGCCCACCCCCAGCAAAGCTCCCAGGTTCCCGGGGCAACGGAAGAAGGCTGTGGCCAGTCCGACAGCCCGAGAGCTAGCCCATGGCACTGAGGACAGGCCGAAGCCCACCGCCGCCAAAGCCAAGCCGAGCCCCAGCTCCCAGGGAGTGGGGAGCCCACGGCACAGCACCAAGACAGCAGGGGGCAGCCGGCCCCAGCCGGCCAGCGGGCAGCTCCAGAGTGAGACAGCCACCACCCCAGCCAAGCCCAACTGCCCAGGCCAGGGCCCCGCCCCAGACAAGCATCCCCCTCGAGCCCCAGCCAAGGGCTCTCCCAAGGGGCCAAAGGAGGCCGGTGACCAGGGGCCCCGGGGGAGCCTGGGCCCCAGGGAAGATGGGGCGGTCAGTGAGAAGAAGAGGAAGGGCCGGGCCCCAGGGCCAGCCAGGAGTGAAAGTGTGAGGAGCCTGGGGAGAGCCCACTTGGTCCCTGACAAGCCCCCCCGGGCCCCCCGGAAGCAGGCGACACCCAGCCGTGTGCTCCCCACCAAGGCCAGGCCCGGTAGCCAGAAGGGCACGATGCCACCCCAGCCCTCAGAGCAACAGCGGCAGGCGGGGCCCGGCCACACCCACGGGGACTGCAGGCGCCCCAAGGAGGGGCAGGGCAAGGCCTGTGCCCAGGGGAGACCCCTGCACAGGCCCCCCAAGAGGGACAGAGCTGTCCACGGTGCTGAACCTGCCAACCCCCGTGCCTGCCGGACCGCCGAGTCCCAGAATGACCTCCTCAGCCAGCTCTTTGGGCAGAGACTAACCAGCTTCAAGATCCCTCTAAAGAAAGACCCTTCAGAGTAATTTATAGACACGAGTGAGTACCTGGCAGCAGGGCTTGGAACAACCCAGCAAGTGGGGGCTCCCGTGTATGCTGACAAGCCTCAGTGCTCGAAGGGTGTTGGCTGGGTGGCCACGTGTTAATCCACCTGACTTATGCAGATGCTCAAAGTTTGCTATTAGGGCTGAGACTGTGATGCTCTGAGCAGGGCCTGGCGGGGCGGGGGGGGG